ATGGCACTTAACAACAACAGCAACATCCATCTATCTTGATTTCATGTTTGATCTGTTTCAGACTGAAGAAGTTGGTAGAATTCTTCAATTTCATCATCCCTGCTTTAATTGTTGGTGTGTAAATTTGAATAATAGTGGCATTAACTTGTCTTCCTTGTAGGCAAATAGATATTATCCTATCACAGAAAGCATTGTACTTCAAGACAGATCTTGATATGCTCTTTTTGATAATGAATGGGACACCATTCCTCTTCAATTTGCCATTCCCAGCATAGTAAACCATGTGATTGTCACATTAAAAATGGCCAATACCAGTCCATTTCAGCTCACTAATGCCTAGGGTATCAATGTTTATGCGTTCCATTTCATTTTTTACAATTTCCAATTTTCCTAGATTCATACGTCATACATTCCATGTTCAGATTATTAATGGATGTTTACAGCTGTTTCTCATCATTTTGAGTTGTTCCCCAACAGCAAACAAAGGTCCTGAGGACTTTACTCCATTCGTGTCATCAATGTCAACTCTACTTAAGGAGGTAGCTCTTCCCTCAATCACATTTTGAGTGTCTTCCAGCCAGAGGGGCTTATCTTCCAACACTATACCTGATAATATTCTCATGCTTTTCATCATGTTTCAGTATTCAATATTCTTAGCTGACAGTGTTTCACTACTATTCGTAAGGTTTTCAGTGACTAAGTATTCGGAAGTAGTCGTCTTTCCTTCTTCCTAGTGTGTCTGTCTGGAAGCTCTTCTAATACCTGTCCACTGTGAGTGACCCTTCTGGTATTTAAAAATCCATGGCATAGCTTCCAGAATCACAGCAACACACAAGTCACCAAGAGCTATTGCTCTACTAAAGTGACTGTCAACTGCAGCTGCCCATGGGAACACCTAGAGTCTGGGGAGCTTGAAAAAATATTGCTGCCCAGGTCCCATCCCCAGAAATTCCAATGTGGCCTAAAAAATGAAGATTTTTTTTACCACTTCCGAGGTTTTACATGTACAGCCAAGCCTGACAACCACTGGCTAGAGTCTACTGTTATAAGCCTCACAGTCTTAAGAAATGTTTGAAGACTATCTCAAGAATTTCCTTGTCCACTTAGTCCTGAGTGGTCAAATTTGAGGGGAATTTAGAGAATTTAAAAAAATCTTTAATTAAAAATAATAGCCTAAAAAATTACTCACAAGGTGCTGGTAGGCACTATGGCAGGAAGTATTTTGGGAGCTCTAGCCCTAGAGCTGAACTGTACATAGACCAACAGGCCATCATTCTAACAGAACAAGGGGACACTGAATGGTTTACATCAGGAAAGGTGTGTGCTAGGGTTGTATTCTTTTACCATACATATTCAATCTGTATGCTGAGCAAATAATCTGAGAAACTGGATTACATGAAGAAGAATGCAGCATCAGAATTAGAAAAAGGCTCATTAACCACTTGTGAGATACAGATGATACAACTTTGCTGAAAGTGAAGAGGACTTAAAATATTTACTGATGAAGATCAAAGACCTCAGCCTTTGGTATGGGTTGCACCTTGATGTAAAGAAAAGAAAAATCCTTACCACTGGATCAGTAAATAACATCATGATAAATTGAAAAAAGACTGAAGTTGTCAAAGACTTTATTTTGCTGGGATCAACCATCAACACTCATGGAAGCAGCAGTCAAGAAAGCAAATGACAGTACACTAGGCAAATTCGCTGCACATGACCTCTTTAAAGTGTTCAAGATGTCAGTTTGAGGACTAAAGTGCACTGGACCCAAGCCATGGTATTTTCAATAGCCTCATATGTATGTGTGAGTTAGACAATGAATAAGGAAAAAGAATTGATACATTTGAGTTGTGATATTGAAGAATATTAAAGGTACCACGGACTACCAGAAGAACAAACAAATTTGTGTTGGAAGAACTACAACCAGAATGCTCCTTAGAAGCCAAGATGTCCAGACTTCATCTGTCATACTTTGGACATATTATTAGGAAGGACCAATCCCTGGAGAAGGACATCATGCTGGGTGAAGTGGAAGAGCAGCGAAAAAGAGGAAGTCCCCAATGAGCTGGATTGTGGCAGCAATAATGGGCTCAAGTGTAACAGCAGTTGTGACAAATGACCCAGAACTGAGCAGTGTTTCATTCTGTTGTTCATAGGGTTCCTATAGTTTTGAGCTGACTCAACAGCACCTAACAACAACACCAAGCCCTAGGGTAAGGACTGGACCTAAAGGTCACTTTAAAACACAATGTCAGCAGTTCAGAATCACCCCTTGAAAGCCCCATACAGGGTCAGTATGAATCAGAACCGACCCAACAGCACTTAACAACAAGCCCTTTCCACCACCCCTTGTTGTTGTTGTTCGGTGCCATCGAGTCAGTACTGATCCATAGCGACCTTATGCACAGCAGAACGAAACACTGCCCCATCCTGGCCCAACCTCACCACTGTTGCCATGCTTGAGTCCATCGATGCTGCCACTTGGCCAATCCATCTCGTTGGGGGTCTTCCTCTTTTTCTCTGACCCTCCACCTTACCAAACATGATATCCTTCTCCAGCAACTGGTTCCTCCTGACAATATGTCTGAAGTATGAGGGACGAAGTTTGGCCATCTTGGCCTCCAATGAGCACTCTGGCTGCCCTTTTTCCAAAACGGATCTATTGGTTCTTTTGGCAGCCCATGGCACTTTCAATATTCTCCTCCAACACCACAACTCAAAGTTATTACCACATTCTTATCATCTTTTATTGTTGTTTTCAATAGGATCAAGGCTAGAGATTCCATGGATTTTGGCATTGTATCCTTGTTCTATGGCCTGTACTATGGAATAATGGGGAGAGACTTTGCTGAGATATGCTCAGATTACATGGCTTCTACTATAGGGGTAAGTGATGTCTTCATTCTTTGGAACCATTGATGGTAAAAGGTGAGAATTTGTCTCATGCGACATATATGCGCCCAATTTCAGAAAGATGAGGCTTTCTGCTCCCATAAAGATTTATAGCCTCAGAAACCCTATACAGGGTCACTGTGAGTCAGAATTGACTCGATGGCAGTGAGTTTTTGAGTCATACGCTGATTATCTTTTCCTTTGACATCATTTTAATAGTCAAGTGGTTCTCCAAGTCCTTGGGCGATGAACTGTTCTTGCATCCAAAATTTTATTTGCTAATTAATTAGAGAATATATTAATTATTGATATATAGTGGTTATGGGATAGGGCACTATATTTAATAAAATATGAGAATTATTTCAAAGTTATCTGTGGTACAGTAAAATTCTTGAGATGACTTTTCTAGTCAGTCTTTGTAACTCTCACTAGCTATCTCAATGAGACCTACCTAAGCTCTTCACTGGTATTTGAGACTCTTTAAAAATACAGCAAACCAAGTATACAATTAAGATTCAGAAATTAAATTAGGGTGAGTTACTCACTTTTGATCATTAGTGAATAGTTACCCAAATTTCATTTCTGAATATTAATCATTGCACATTCAGTTTGCTGTATCTCTAGGGGTCATGATGTGGCACTGTAGGATAGGCCCTGGTCAAGGCTTATCCTGCAAGGTCAGTGATTCAAACCTACCAGCTGCTTCTTGGAAACCCTATAGAGGGTTGCTCTGAGTCAGAACCAACTTGATGGAATTGAACAACAACAATAACATTCACTTTTCAAGGAGCTCTGATGGCTCTGTGATTAAGTGCTCAGCTGCTAACCTCACATGCGAGGTGGGCCACCCAGGACATTGACTAACGCTGATGGGGATTCACCTCCTGCTCTCTTATGAGGTTAGAGGTCAGATGCCACCTCCATGCTATTGCTACATTATCATATTCCTCCAACTCCAGATGCTAATTTTTTTAAATGAGTAAAAGATGAACAATATCAAAAATCCTTTATATAGTTCTGCCTAATATACATCAAATGAATAGTTGGTGTTACCTAAAACATTTCAAACTCAACCAGTACTCAACATGAAGATCATTTATCATTGCACAGTATTTGAAGAAGTAGAAGATAACCAAAGTATGTTAAATAAATATATCCAGATTATTGTTCCCTGGAATTTAAAAAGAAAATCTGTCATAAAGGTGTTTTTGTTAGTTAACTTTTTAAAATTAAAAGTCAGAATTAACAAATTTTTTAGCTAAATTGTTGTTGTTAAATGTTGTCAAGTTGTTTCTGATTTAGAGCGGTTGGTGGGTTTGAACTGCTGCCTTGCGGTTAGCAGGCCAGTGCTTATCCTACAGAGCCACACCAGGCATTTAGTTAGATAGAGTCCAGATGATAGGAGCATTCAGCTGTGTCTGATACATCCTAGTAAAACCTTCTAAGTCAAGGAGAGCCTAGTCATGTCAGGATTTCTACATTTCTGTCCATCACCAGTCTCTTGGTCCATGGATGGATATGAAGTGGAAAAACTACTGTGTCAAGAAAAGTGATTTTTGTATTATTCCTGTATCTCTTGATTTATGGGACAGGTGGCCTAAGTGGATATGACCTTGATTCATTAGCACTCAATCTGCCCTTCTCCTCTAACTTAGACTTTATCTTACTATGTTCCTAGAGTCCAACTTCTGCAGAGAAATGCTATAGTATACCTCTTAGAACTCCTCTGCTGTGTATCATCTATGGAACTGCCTTCCTTATGAGGTTTAAAGTGAGCACAGGAGATTTCGTTCCTGTTCTCCCAACATAAAACAGAAATCATGCCCCTTAGAAAATTCCTAGAGTCTCTTGTGCTTGCTCATGTACAAAAGAGGAAGAGTTGTATATGTTCTGTTCTCCAGTGGGCCAGGAGAAAGAGCTTTAATCTGACAAGCTAACCAAGGCACCAACTTTTTGAAGACTTCTTACCTAATCCCAACCTTTCTTGTCATCTTCTACCATCCTCATTTGAATGACCAAATCTATACAGACCACAGCTATCTATATAGGTCTCAAGCTGTCAACACGGCCACCAATGACTTGGACTGGTGAATGTGTGTGTGCATGCATGCATGCTCATGTATGAATGTTCACATCATTTGAGCACAGGCTTATGTCTGAGAAAGGGAAGAAACAAAGGAAGAGTAAGTCTCCATTCCCATACCAATGCCTAAGCCTTGCATCTGACCAATTAGAATCTCTGGGAGAGGAGTCAGGGTACCTGCCTTATTTACAAAACTCTTCGAAAAAAGAAATGAGCATACAGAAGCATGGCTGAATCTTGAATGCGTATTGCTGAATGAAATTAGCAGGTCTAGATACATTATATATGAAGCCATTGTTAAGTCATTCTGAAAAAGGTGTAACTATGCAGAAGACAAAAAAAAGATCAATGGTTGTTAGGAGTTTTGGAGAGGTGGGAAGGGTTGAGTAGGTGAAACACAGGGATATTTAGGGAGATGAGGCTGTTCTGTATGGTACTACAATGGTAGATACAATGACATGCATTTGTCAAAACCCACAGAAATTCATAGAGTAAAAAAGCATATACATATTTTAATATATAATTTAGGAGGTCAGGCAGAGTATCCCAGAACAGAATGCAGACTATGACAAGAAAAATCAAACTCTACTACAAATATATGGAACACTTCCACTAAATGGGGTAGGGAAAAGTGCTGACTTAATTTACTTCAGAAATGATTGGGATTGCATGACTACAGCCAATAGAAACTGTATGTTTGCTCAAATTATTTTTCTCCAGAGTATAAGTTAATTTTTATACTACTGTAAGACTCCTGGTGTAGCATTGTAGGATCAGCACTAGACTGCAACCCACTGTAGCAGTGTTCTTTTGTTGGGTCAGGGGGAAGTATTTCAAGTTCTAAACCAACTTAGAGACAGTGAATGGAGTCACCTGGCTCTGCACCTAGCAACGGCTTCACTGCTTTCAGAGAATGGTCTGTGTGCTTCTTCCCAACTGGGCTGTGTTCATTTCCCTAACAGTTCTACAGCATCAGCGGGATGCCCTCCAGGAGTTTGTCAGACAATATCTGTGCTGTCTGTGGGCAGAAGATCATTGTGGACCTAGATGAAGAAGGACTCATTGAAAACACCTACCAGCTTTCATGTAATCATATGTATCCTTTTCACGGGAAACCACTTGACCTTGATCAAGCCAATATTGGGAGACAATTTTCAAATGATCTGGGTTGTAAGTGGGATATGACAAATCAGGGAAGACCATTTCATCACCCTTCTCCCATCCTTTCTTCCTTCTTACTCCTCCCCTCTGTCTTGTTACCTCCAGTCCTGAAATCCTAGGCCTTCATCCACTAGCCCATAGGTCTCTTTGAGGCATTCTGAATATCCCTGCTGAAAAATGAACTGCTAATTAAAGTGACGTTCCTCCTCCAGTAGAGAATGTGGTGTCTCTGTAGCCTAAGCACTGGATTGCTAACCAGAATGTCAACGGTTCGAGTCCCCCAGCTGATCCACAGGAGGAAGATGAGGGTATCTGCTCCCGCAAAGATTTACAGCCTCAGAAACCCTATACAGGGTTGCTGTGAGTTGGAACTGACTTGAAGGCACTTTACAACAACCTCCTCGGGTACTCCTTGTTTTAAAGAGGACTCAACAGCACATGGACAGAAGGCAATAACATCTGAGCAGAATGCTGGCAAGAAAGATTAGCCACAGCCATAAGGGAACAGAGAGCCAAGAAGAACTATGGAGAGGAGGGGTTTGGTTGGAGGTGAAGAAAAAAGTGCAGGCTCAAGTGCTGGGAAGAACTCAGGCCTATCCAGGTGGAGCCCCGTGTGTGAATCCCACCGGACCAAGAAACGCAAGTGTGCTTTTCCTAGGAGTAATGCTAGGAACTTTCTGGTAGTAATAGTGGGTACATCCAGAAAAAGAAAATCAAGCCTTTTTACCAGTGTGGTCTTGAAAAGGGGATAATGCTACAGATATTACCATGTAAGAAAGGGACCCAAGTACCAGGGAACCATTTGATCTGTCTGCTATAAGTTCTTCCCAAAATAGCAACCTACTGACTTGAATCCTTTAGGTGGTAGGTACCAGGTAAACTCCAATCTGGAAACCAGCGTTCTCTGGAAACTCCAGTAACCTCTGAAGAAGATCTGTGCTGGAAGATATTGGGTCCAAAACCCCTGAACACAAAGCAGCCTGGCCCTGCACCTAGCATGTAGCTATGGAGATTAAACTTGGTTTAATCCTTTTATAAATGGAAAAAAAAAAAAAAACCCCACATTATTTCTCCTTTATCTTTATTTCAATTTATGTGGCCAATCAGTTCAAATCTCTGGCATTATATGGTGGTTAAACCATCCTGTCTTCTTCCTCTGAAACCCACTTAACTCAATCTGCAATACATGAGCTGCACAGTGCCTATGATTCAATTCTATTTCAACTGGAGAGTTTCCACATATTTAATCCTAAGAGTCAAAACTGGACCAAATGCATCTGAACTGTACTTAGAGCTCTTACTTGAACATTTCAGCCTTAAAATATTAAGGGAAGAAACACACACACAAATATCCCATATGGAAGACTATGGTGGATTTTCAGTGTGATTCATTTCCCCCCAAATCTACCCTTCTTAGCAGACATTTTCCAAGACTAGCTCTATTTTTAAATCTGACTTACTTTTTAAATTTTTGGAACAGAGCCCTTTCTGCCATTTGCAAGTGGAAATATTTTCTCTTTCCACCTTGAAAAGCCCTTAGGGATTGTTGTACATGTGTGCATATGTAATTTTCAATGTAGTTGCCTTTAAATTTGCTTTACAGGAAGTATTATTAATGGTCCATTTGGACATGAGTCATCTGAGTGAGAAGGGAGCAACCATGAGTCATAGTAACCAGGAGCGGGCAGTTCTGCCAGCGTGGAGGCTTTGCAGCATTGAAAGGATGAAAGGAGGTGTTTGAGAGGCCATGGAAGTATTAGAGAGGAGGTGGACTTGTCAATACTGGTTCCATGCCTCAGACAAGCTATACCTATCTAGAAGGCGGGGGGCTGTATTCCACCCCATTTAAAGGAAGTCTATGTGGGTTTGGGAGACAAATCTTTGTTATAATACACCACTACTTCATATTATTCCAAGCATCTTGCAAAAGTGACACAATTCCAAGAACCTAAAATGTGGACACGCTTCATTGCACACAAATCTCATATTGAGAAATTAGAGACCTGACCCTGACTTGGCTATACCTCCAGGATACTACACTTAATAGTGAGCGACCTACCAGAGTATGTAGCAGGCCAGTCAGAAGATCATGTGATCCTGGCCACAAAACTCACATTGGGATCATGAACCTTAGAAGTAAATCTCTATAACAGATCTCATTATACTTCATTAATCACTTTGTCCAAATCTAAATTACTGAAGAACCTGGTAAAGGACACAGGTCCCTGGTTGGCATAATGGATTTGCTCTTGGCTACTAACCTAAAGCTTGGTGGTTTGAACCCACCCAGTGTCACTATTGAGAAAAGGTCTGCAAGTCTGCTTCTATAAGAAAACTCTATGGGACACTTCTACTCTGTAACACACGGGGTTAACTCCACAGCAGTGGGTTTGGTTTTGTTGTTAAGTGCCATTGAGTCAATTCTGACCCATAGCGACCCTGTGTAGGGTTTCTAAGGAGCAGCAGGTGAGCTTGAACCATCAATCTTGCAGTTCAAACCACTTTGCAGTCTGATGCATTAGCCCACAGTGCCACACCAGGAGTCCTGGGTTTGGTTTTAGGGGTTGTTAAAAGATACTGACCTCCACTAGCATCTATTTCCAAAATATAATCAATGTTCAGTGAGTCATTCAAATAAATCAATAAATATTCAGATAAATTTAATAAATATTTGTCACTGCTATGGATGTTGAGGACTCTGCCTACAAGAAATATATGCTCTAGAGAGAGATCTTTAAGTACTCAAAAGACACAATGCAGTATAATACACACTCTATTAAGAGGAGCACTCTGGCTGCACTACTTCCAAAACAGATCTGTTGGATCTTTTGGCAGCCCACAGCACTTTCAATATTCTCCTCCAACATCACAACTCAAAAGCATCAATTCTTCTACGGTCTTCCTTATTCACTGTACAGCTTTCGCATGCATATGAGGTTATTGAAAATACCATGGCCTGGCCTTAGTCCTCAAGCCGAGATCTTTGCTATTCAACACTTTAAAAAGGTCTTGTGCCGCAGATGTGCCTAATGCAATACATCGTTTGATTTCTTGACTGCTGCTTCCATGACTGTTGATAGTTGATCCAAGAAGAATGAAGCCCTCCCTATATAGGGTTTCCAAAGAACAGTTGGTGGGTTTGAACCACCAACCTTGAGGCTAGCAGCCCAGTGCTTCTCCTACAGTGCCAGTAATCTCCCTAAAAAAGAGATGTGCATAATCAAGTCATACTGGACAGCCATCCTCACCCTCCACAACTACAGCATGCAGATGGGATTATTTCCACGTCATCAGGAACCAGGCATTGCTCTTTAGTATCTAGAAGCTTCCCTAACAAAATGCTTAAGCTTTCATGAATTCTGCATCCGAGGCTGGTGTATTGTTGGTAAAAAGCAGACTTGCCCTTACTGCAAAGAGAAAGTTGATTTGAAGAGGATGATCAGTAACCCGTATCCTTTTGTAAAAAATTAGATTTTCTCCAATGTTTCTGATAATATATTCTTTAGTCTGAACTTTTCATTATCTTTGTGTAATTACAGCAGAAAATTTTGTTTCCCCATACCACCTATTGCAAAACAATTTTTACTGGTTTCTTTTCTCCTCTGTGTCTGTATTAGTATTTTGATTGAGGAATTAAATGGCAAAGAAGATATAGTCCATTCTTTATTGTCCATATTTTCCATTGTAAAGGTATGCTATTGTTTTTAAGCACCATCGAGTCAACTCCAACTCATAGTCAACCTGCATAGGGTTTTGAGGAGCTAACCTGGTGTGGCACTGTGGGTTAATGCACTGGACTGCAAAGTCACTTGAATCGCAAGGTCGGCAGTTCAAGCTCACTAGTCGCTCCTTGGAGACCCTATACAAGGTTGCTATGGGTAGGAACCGACTCGACAGCACTTAACAACAACAACAACCTGTGGTTAGCTGTCCAGTGCGTATCTTATAGCACCACGCAAGGACTGTACAGATATAGTAATGGGATACTGTAAAAGATAGATAAGCAGATGAAACAACATGATAAATCGATAGAATGATGAATGGGTGGCTGGGCTGATAAATAAATAGATTGGAATTGAAGATTTTAAAGCCCCAAATATGAACCATTGTTGTTGTTAAGTGCCATCAAGTCGGTTCCAACGCATAGAAGAGACCCTGTATAGGATTTCAGAGAGCAGCTGGTAGATTTGCCAACTTGAATGTGAAGTAGAGCATAAAAAATTATTTTTGTAATTGTGGAATAATGCACTGGACCATAAGGTCAGTTTGAACTGCAAGGTCGGTGATTAAATCCACCAGCTGCTCCTTGGGAACTCTATACAGAGTAGCCATGAGTCAGAATTGACTCGACAGAACTTAACAATGACAACTTTTATTATTTGCAGAGGTAAGTATGATTCCCCCTCTCCCCTCACCTCCAGGATATTGGCTTTTAAAATTTCTTACCATTCCTCTTCTTCTCTTATGCTAAAACTTAGTGGGAACAATATTAAAAGGAAATAAATACCTACAATCCTGGTCAGCCCATGGCAGCAATGAGGATTTTTATAGGCACTACGGATCCCTAGCTGAATAAACTCAAATCTCATTAAAGTCACAAGAAAGTAATAGCCCTTTCCAGAGCTGACTAAAAAGCCTTAGTCATGAAACCCACAGTCCCAAAACCTTAGTATAGTTCTTCTAAGGGGTAATGGGATTAAAATGTAGCCCCCGTAAGTAGAAGAAGTAGGCACCAATCTTCTAAGTACTTGCTCTTTTCAATGAGTTAGCCTTTCTGGACTTTGAGTAACAGTCACTTAGATTTTAGTCTTCCTTGTTCCATGTCCCCCCACCCCACCCCCACTATTCACCAATCCTGAATTTACAGGACACCTTCATCTTTGAGCACTGCAAATCAAAGGAAAGACTCTTGGGTAAGATTCAGAGAAGTGGGCAGCACCAGCTACATCTCCAGGCTTGGTATTTCTTGGTGAGTCAGAGCAGCTCCAGTACAATAAAGCTAAAGGAAGACGATGCACCGGCCTCCTCCTTTGTCATCCATCGTCCCTGACTTTCCCTTCCGGTATAAGGAGGTGGGCCCAGAACAGGTTTTGATTAATAGTTTACTTACAAAGTATTTAAATCTTGGTGCTTACAATGATCAGAAATGTCCCTTACATAACAGTATAAATAACAAAGGGCAGTTGGCGTCTTCATATATTCTCGAGAAAACTACATTTGAGAAAATAAAAATGATACACTTTTTACTAGGATATAGTTTAAGAAAAAGCTATATGCAAAATATCTGCTTTTATGCTTATGAAATTGATATCATTAAATTCCCTAAGCAGAGTTTTTCAAAGATCGTTAACAGTAGTACTGGTGTAGCAATGTAGGATAAGCACTGGACTACTTATCAGAAGGTCGGCGGTCTAAACCTACCAGTCACTCCTATACAGGGTTTTTATGAGTCAGAACCAACTGGACAGCACTTAACAACAAGCATAATATTCCAAAGGTCTTTACCAGGAAAACATGTTCCTTAACTTTTGAACTGGTGTGATTCCTTTTATTATCCAGTGTGTTTTCTCTGGTGAACGCACTGCAGAAAAGTCCAGAATTAAGTTTTGTTCTTAATTTCCATTATCCTTGGTTTTTCAATATAGTCATTTCCCTTCTCCTCTTTCTTTCAGTGAGTGGTCTTTGCCTTTTATAACTGCTTTATATTTTGTCATTTGATTGTAAAGATATTTTTGGAATAAGTTTATATTTATAAAAATCATGGAATGAATAACAATTAACAAGAATGAGAACACCTATTTATTCTACGTTTCTTCTGTTTGCAATTGCTATTTATGAAAATGTCTGCTCTTTGGGTATAAATAGTACAGCTTCCTTAACTGAGATTTAGCTGGGAGCGCACACATTTTCTGTATGGACAGATCCTGGATTGGCTTCGTTATTTGGTAGCATGGCAACCTGTGGTGATAGGAATAGTTCAAGGCATTAACTATTCGCTGGGACTGGAATAGCACTGCAGACGTAACCCCAGAAGCAATGCATTGCATGTTGGGATATTTTAAAATCTTTGACTCTATACTTAATATTCTTTTATTTTTGCAGCAACCCCAAGAGACCAGAAACTGAATAATTTGGTGGTATACTTAAAGCAACATGTCTATGTGGACAGAAATTAGAAGAGAAGCTGAACAATAGAATAAGCAAAGTGTGTTGTTGCTGTTGTTGTTTTTTCATATTTCCCATTTGTTTTCTAACCCATGCTTGCAACACATTTTATTACCCACCACGCATCTCAAATTACTACTCACATACAATATTTAGTTATACTTAATGTTGCTAAGTGCCGTTGAGTCAGTTCTGACTCACAGTGACCCTATATAGAGTTTCCAAGGAGTAACCAGTAGGTTTGAACTGCCAACCTTGTGGTTAGCAATCCAGTGCTGATTCTACAGTGCCACACCAAGACTCTATAGCTATATTTAATAGGTTGATGCAAATGGTTAAGTGCTTGGCCTTTAAATGAAATGTTGGTGATTAAAATCCTTGCAAAGGCATCTCAGAAGAAAGGCAACAGAAGATCACAACCATTGCAAACCATGTGGCACACAGTTATACTTCGTCACAATGAGGTCACCATGATTGGAACTGCAACTGGTTGTTCAAAAATCTTCTCTTTAGCTCAACATTTTCAAAGAAGTAGATAGAAGTTACTAAGTAATGTATGGTTAAAGGTACCATCTTTTGTGTTCTGTGTGCTTGGCACCAGGTGACAATTTAAGCACATGGTAGGTACCATGTGCGATGGATCCCTCAGTGGGCCAGTGTTGCACTGGATTTCCTGGAGCTTCTATATGCACTAACCTCATCCCACAATGGACAGAATCTCTCTAGTCTCTTGTACCATCCTGTTCACACACACACACATTCTATTGCTTTGTTGTTGGGTACCATCGAGTCAATACGAATCCATAGCTACCCTATGTACAACAACAAAACATCGCCCAGTCCTGCAGCATCCTCACAATTTCTGCTATACTTCAGTCCATTGCTGCGGCCACTGTGTCAATCATCTCATTGGGGTTATCCCTCTATTTTGCTGGCCCTGCACTTTAGCCAACATGCTGTCCTTCTTCAGGGACTGGTCTCTCCTGATAAGATGTCTGAAGTATGAGAGACGAAGTTTGGCCATCTTTGCTTCTAAGGAGCATTCTGGTTGTACTTCTTCCAACACAAATTTGTTCTTCTGGCAGTCCAGAACACCATAACTCATATGCATCAATTATACTACTGTTTTCCTTATTTATTGTTCAATTTTTCACATGCATACGAGGCTACCAAAAATACCATGGCTTGGATCAGGCACACTTTTCAAATTGAAATCTTTGTTCTTGAACACTTTAAATAAGTCTTGTGCAGCAGATTTGCCTAATACAATACATCATTCCATTACTTGACTGCTGCTTTCATGAGTGTTGATGGTGGATCCAAGTAAAATGAAGTATTTGACAACTTCGTTCTTTTCTCCATTTACCATGATGCTATTTATTGGTCCAGTGGTGTAGGGTTTTGTCTTCTTTACATTGAGGTGCAACCATACTGAAGACTGTGGTTCTGATCTTCATCAGTAGGTATTTTAAGCCCTATTCACGTTCAGCAAGCAAGGTTATGTCATATGCATATATCACAGGTTGTTAGTGAGTCTCCCTTCAATTCTGATGCCAAGTTCTTCTTCATATAACCCAGATTCTTGGATTATTTGCTCAACATGCACATTGAATAAATATGATGAAAGAATACAACCCTGGCACATACCTTTCCTGATTTTAAACCATTCAGTGTCCCCTTGTTCTGTTCTAACAATTGCCTCTTGGTCTGTGCACAAGTTCTTTATGAGCACAATTAAGTTTTCAAGAATACTCATTCTCCACAATGTTGGCACTGGCTTGTCCTGATCCTTATCACTGAATGTCTTTGCATAGTCAATAAAGCACAAGTAAACATCTTGCTGTTATTCTCTGCTTTCAGCCAAAATCCATCTGACGTCAACAATATCCCTGGTTCCACATCCTATTCTGAATCCGGCTTGAACCTCTGGCAGTTCCCTGTCAGTGTACTGTTGCAGCTGTTTTTAAATTATCTTTACCAAAATTTTACTTGTATGCAATATTAATGATATTTTCCAATGATTTCCACATTCCATTGGGTCACTTTCTTGGAATGGGCACAAATATGGATCTCTTCCAATCACTTGGACAGGCGGTCTTCCAAATTTCTTGGCATAGATAAGTGAGTGCCCCCAGTGTTGCATCAGTTTGTTCAAAGATTTCAATTGTATTCCATCAATTCCCAGAACCTTGTTCTTTGCCAATGCCTTCAGTGTACCTTGGACTTCTTCTTTCGTATCATAGGCTCTTGATCGTATGCTACCTCTTGAAATGGTAGAACATCAACCATTTCATTTTAGTATAGTGATTCTATGTATCCCTTAGTCTGCTTTTATTTTTTTTCATAACACTTCATCAACATCTGAAATCATATGTTATACATACAATTTGTGGTCGCTGAGTCGGAACCAACTCCATGGCAGTGGCTACCCACTATATTAGTAAGCTTCATAAATTTTGTCTATTTTGTTCTCTACTGTTTCCAAAGCACTTAGAACAGTGCCTTGAACATAGTAAGCACTCAATAAATATGAGTCAAAAGAAAGGAGGGGATGAGGAAGACTAATCAGCAAGAATTAACCCAATAATGATATATTGGATTCCTGAAATGAATTCATTTTGAAGAATTGACCATTAGTTAAATAGTTCACTATGCAATTTCATATGAAGTAGAAAGGACACACATTGGCTATTATTTTTGTTTTGAAAATGTGAGCAATATACTTAATGTTGTCCCAAGTTCCAGAATAGTTGTAATGAAGGTAACTAACTTTAAGATTTCTAGTGGTTACGTTCCTTCTTGAAACTGACCAGTACTTCAGTATCATCATCCAGATTATGCATACTAGAAGGTTTAACCCTGGTTTATTTATCTACTCAGCAAAGATTTCAACAATCCTATACTTACTACACACCAGGCATGTGCAGAGGTTAAGGAGATAAAACAAGATTCTTGAGTTTAAAATCTATTAACTATAGAAAACCCCCCAGTTGGATAAAGAGTACTAAACACAAATTCATTTTTCTTCTATGTAAGGAGCCCTTAAACTGATCTTGGATGTATTTCTACTTACCTTATACAGACAGCTCCATGAGATTAAAAATCTGAGCAAGTAAGCCAGTGGATATCTCCATGGGATTCCAAATGACCCTGAGGTCAGAAATGTCAGATCATCACTAAACAAGCTCAGAAAAATATGAAGATGCCGTTTTCCTTACGCTTCTGAATGTATAAGCCAATTCCAACTTTGTACAGCAATACATCTATTTATATAGTAAAAAAGGTTACCAGTAGTCATCTCGAGGTAGTGGGATAAGAGCTGATTCTTATTTTATTTTCTCTCTTATCTCTTTTCTAAAATGACTTCAGTGAACGTGTTTAACATTTGCAATGAGAAAAAAATAAACTCTTGAAGAAATAAAAATTTAGATCTGTCAATTAACCATAAAGCTATTGTATGTTGGTGGTTATGGGCCATGGAGTCGGTTGCAACTCATAGCAACCCTGTACAGGGTTTCCGTGGCTGTAAATCTTTATAGGATCAGAAAACCTCATCTTTCTCCCATGGAACAGCTAGTGGTTTTGAACTACTGACCTTGAGGTTCACAGCCTGGTTCATAGCCACTACAATTGTTGTATATTTCCATTCAATTTGTCAGACTTTTTTATTTGACATTGTGTTTAATACAGTAACAGAGAAGTAAAGCAAAAAGTCTACTCATGGTTTTGATTTGTGGCCTACATATTTCCCCAATTTCAGGTTTCCTTCACCTGAGTTTGTCCATTTTTCCTTAGGCTGGCTACTGTGTCTTCTCTAACACCCTCCAGCAAGTATGTGTATGTATACATGTGTGTGTTTCTCAAGGACCAAAGTCCTAACAAACTTCCTTTTTCACACTTAACAAACTTAACTCTATGGAGTATTTTTCTGTGAACAGGGTCCCTATGTATCTCCCAGTATTTATATACAGAAAAAACATAGTATATATAGGAGTCACTTCTTGGAAAATAATAATCGTAATAATAGCATTATAGCATCTATTACAGGCATCCCTTCCACTTCCACCCACACTTATGGTTTCTAATAATAGGCTTGGTACTCTTTCATTCCTGATCCCTCCACAGCGAATGGTAACCAATGGTGTGTGCTTAGAGGTGTAATTACCTTACGGTATTCAGACTCTCACTATCCTATGAAGTATAAATGTTGTTGTTAAGTGTCGTCAAGTCAGTTCTGACTCATAGTGAGTGACCTTATATAGGGTTTCTGAGAAGTGCCTGGTAAGTTTGAAATGCTGACCTTCCTTGCAGTTCAAACCAATCTTGTGGCCCAGTGTTCATCCTCCAGAGCCACACCAGGATCCCCATTTTAAGGGCAAGAAAACATTTAGGTCAGGCACAGTGACTTGCACCTGTTATGCATCTACTAACTCAGGACTTTTTGAATTCAGAGTCCTGATAACTGCAAAATCCCAGTTGTTGTTGTTGTTGTTAAGTGCCTGCCATGAGTTGGTTCCAACTCATAGTGACCCTGCATAAGGTTTATTTGGCGAGAACAGAAAGCCTCATCTTTCTCCAACTAAGTAGCTGGTGGCCTTAAACTGCCCACCTCATGATTCACAGTCCAGTGCTTATCATATAGAATTACCACACTTATACAATCCCTGCAGGCAGAGAAGAGAGCAGAAAGCAGTAGGTACATTTCCTTTCATACGTGGCTCCCAGATTAAGAAGAAAAGGGCACAGAATTTGTAAACAACTCTTGACAAGGAACACTGCATTTGTGCTTAATGTATTACTCAATCTAGACTATACAATTAATTTATGTAATGGTGGTAACTATCATTTTAAATCATTGTGCATTAAGCAATTTTCTGAATCATTATGAGGAAACTCCAGGTACATTGGTTGTTATTTGTGGTCAACTTAATTGTGACTCAGGGCAACCCCATCTTGCTTAAATATCTATATAGCTCACATATACTTTTTTTTATTTTTAATATTTAGATGGGAAAACAAAAAAAGATTTTTTGAGAATTAGAAATAAGCCTTTGCAAAAAGGGAAAACAAGCAACAAAATGCAGGAGAGACAGGCTACAAGGCAGGGATTGAAAGTCAAATAAGGAGAAATAAGACAATAATTTGAATCAGTAAACTACAAGGAAGAGGGGAGTCATGGATGAGAGAGACGTCTTTCCAACTTCCACAAAATAAAAATTTTATTTACACTAATAATTGTATTTTTTTAGTGTAAAGATACAATTGACTGTATCTTGTGTTATGTACCTTCTTCCAAGAGTCCTAGTATGACACTATAGGATAAGCTCTGAACTGAACAAAAAGTCAGAGGTGCATACCAATTACTCTTTGGAAACCCTATACAGGTTGCTATGAGTTGGAACTGACTCAAGGGCACTTAACAACAACTAAACAACACCTTCTCTCAAGAATTCTGGCTGAAGAACCTAACAAATAACCAAGAGACAGCTGAAATAACTAAAATAACAGCTGTTGTTAAACACCCTTGAGGCAGTTCCAACTCATAGCAGCATAGTGGCCCTATGTACAAAGGAATGAAATACTGTCCGGTCCTGCATCATCCTCACAATTTATTAGTTTGAGCCCATTGCTTCCACTACTGTGTCAATCCGTCTCATTAAAAGACAGACCTTATTTACAGGAAAATACACCCTCTAAGGCCCTCTCCTATGGAATCCTGGTATGGCACTATAGGATAAGGACTGGACTGCTAATCACAAGGTTAGTTGTTCAAACTCACCAGCAGCTTATCAGAAACCCTATATAGGGTCACTATAGTCGGAACTGACTTGATGGCACATTACAGCAACAACAAGGGCTTATTTAATGGGAATGAGTAGAACATCCTTCTAGGAATAGCAACAAGTTTGGCTGAGTGTCCCCAACATTTTGCCTTCTTGCTCTTTAGAGCAGTGGCTTAGAAGGTATGGTCATTGATGGCCTAGTATGTAAGGTCAGTGGATGAGGGAGAGAAAGCACTCTCAAGTGGATGTGAAAGAGCCTCTTTGCAGAGAGCTGGCTGCCTCCTTATTTGGCTCTGATTTCAAATTCTCAGCTCATTCCTTTTCTGATAAATAAGCCAATGCTATAGATAATTCAAGAAGCTCTGGTAGCATAGTGGTTACGAATCGGCCTGCGAACCTCAAGGTCAGCAGTTCGAAACTACCAGCTGCTCCATGGGAGAAAGATGAGGCTTTCTGCTCCCTTAAAGATTTACAGCCTCAGAAACCCTGTGCAGGGTCACTATGGGTCGGAACCGACTCGACGGCACTTAACAACAACAACATAGATAACTCAGGAGTACTGGTGTGGCACTGTGGGTTAATGTGCTAGACTGCAAAGCCGTTTGAACTGCAAGGTTGGCGGTTCAAGCTCACCACCTGCTCCTCGGAAACCCTATACAGGGTCACTATGGGTTGGAATCAACTCAACGGCACTTCACAAACAACAACAAATAGATAACTCAGACACCAATAATGGACTTATTGATCATAACCATCTTAAAGGATAAAGAAAAATTGAAAGTCATTTTTCAAGTTAGCGCATTAGGGAAAACCCCCTTCTAATAGTGAAACTCAAAGGGAACCCAGGAGCAGTCTGGTATGCTTGCTGAAGACCACCCTGGTCTACTTGTGAGTGGAAGTGGAGGAAATGTAGCAATGAAGACATGGGCTGAGTTTGGCCATGTTCCACTGATACCCGTTGACCTTGAGATGGTGTGTTAATAAGAAGGACTGGCTGGTCTGAAGTTTAGGGAATATGTGAATTCCTGAGTCATTGGACACAGATCTAGCCACTGGAGGCTAAAGCTGAGCGTGAAGCAACCAGCTGGTCTGAAGAATGTGGGTAAGCATGCAAGAACTCCCAAACTTGCAGACAGTACACATTTGACCTAGTTTGGATGGCTAACTGACCAGAACTCAACCAGATGAAGATAAAGACATTTGATACTGTGAGAAAGCATCATTGCTACAATTGGATGAACTGGGCCTTCACTTATAGATGCAGTTGCTTAAATTCTAACTGAAATGGAAGGATTCTTCATATCAAGGATCAAGCTTGTTTCCTCAGTGCACTAGGATGATAAGGATGGGCAACTTAGATGATGACTACCAAAAATGCAGAGTTCTAAAGGCACAAAGTGGCTGGCTTACAAGCTTTCATGAGTGTGCTTAGTTTCAGAATGACAGGGATAAGGTGGAATCCCCACTAAATAGTTTTCCTCTTTTCTAGATGGATCTGGTGAAAGGGGGTGGGGGATGATGCTGATAGGATTTTATGATTCAATTGTGAGTAATAGTTATTAGGATTAATCACAATTGTCACAACTGTAATTGTAGAAGATGTGTAACTAAATGTGGGAGTAGTTAATCTTTCATTTTAGGAACAGAGGTCCCTAGGACCATTAAGAAGGAAGAGCATGAGGGAGCATGAAAACCTACCCAGAAAACAGCGAGAGCAGAGATGGTGTCAGAGGTGATGGCAAAAAGAGAGCAGCTGAGGACTCTAGGTCAGTGAACTGAGCATGAGCAAGGTTGGGTTCCTGCGGGCAGGAGACTGGTTTATAATATTTGCCCTTTGGACATTTAAATGAATATATATATGTTTTGTTTTGTATGTGTACATCAAATATTTTTGCTTTTGTCCATTTGTGAAATATAAGACGCAATAGGGAAGCCTCAGGGTGGAAACAGGGTAACTGCTGTTACAGGGAGAGGGGTGTAATTATTGAGATGAAGCAAAGTGTATGATTGGTTGGGGAGAAAAAAAGAGGTAATCATCAGTTACAAAAGTTTCAAATGAAGAGGAAATCAAATAGCTTTCAAGAAAAATAAATAAATATAAACCAAACATTAAAATAAATGAAAGCCATTTTTCAATCTGGTAGCAATTTTTATAAACAGCATTCCACATAAAATACTAACAGTTTTAGTCAGTCCTCAAATGCCAGTATACATTCATGTGGTTTTTACATAGTCATGTTAGAATCCTCTTAGCTGCAGCTAGCGCTTTAAAGACCAGAACAAGACCCAACTGTCCTTCAATGAAGGAAACTAGGATTTGATTGCAGCTCTCAAATTTAGCCAAAATCCTTCCTGCTGAGATTCGTCTGTGGGCCACTCCAGGTAGGTTTTGGTATTCATGATCTTGCGCAGTTTACAGAACCGCTGGGGAATGGCTTTCTTCTCAATGGGCTCCAGAAGAATGAGAATGGCAGCATCATTGTTCTCATTAAAGAGACGGAAATGGGAGAAGTCCAGTTCATATTTACACCACTCACTCCTCACAAAGTTTTCAGAAAGCACAAAGACGGTTTTGTGACTCTTTTCAATGGAGTCAATAATATTGTCAATAATCCACTTGCCAGGAACAAAGTCCCGCTTATGAAGACACAACTTAAAGGGGGGATCGAAGTTCTCCAGCTCCTGGACCATAAGGTTCTCCACCCAGTAGCAATCCCTTTCGCTGTAAGAAACAAAGGCGTCATAGCAGATGTCCCTGTTGGGTGCTTTCTTGGGCTTCCTCTTGGCCTGGAGCCACGCCCACATCATCTTCATGTACCAGAGTCCATGGAAACGGTGGCACAGAAACGCAGTGAGCAGGATGAACACAAGAAGGGCGCAGCACACAGCAAACACCAGGGCTGTCCTGTGGCACTCAGCAACAGAGAGGCGTGTGTCCTGAACTCGTTGGCCCTGCACGTGGGATGGAGAGTCACACAGGTAGTTTTCTGGCCAACCAATCAGGACCTCAGTCAGTGCATGGTGCCCCTGAGTGAAAGACAGGAACTCACAGGAGCAAATGAAGTTATTTCCGCCCACATCCAAAGTCCTTAATTTTTTAAAGGAATCAAATTGCTCCTTAGAGAACATATTTATTGTGTTCCTGCTGATTCTCATAACTAACAACATGGGTAAGAAGGTAGAGTCTGGTAGAGTCTTCAACTTATTTCTTGAAATATAAAGTTCTTTGAGTCGTGGCAAAATCAAAGAAAATGAATTGAGATTATTATTGCTGATATCTAAAATTTCTAGTCTCTGGGGAACACAATGGGTTAAACTATGTATTCGTGTGCTGGATAAGTTTAAATATGTCATCTTCTCTGGCCAGTGACACATTTTGGGCATAGACTGAAAGTTATTCTTACTGATATCAAGGCTAGTCAGGTTTTTCAGAGTAAGCAAAGACTCTCCAGTTTTTTCTAAGGATGTCAGATGATTTTGTCTCAAGATTAAGGTCTGTAGGGAGGGCCAGGCATCCTCACAGGCTGAATTTTTCAAGTATTCTTCAACCATCAAATTTTCACTAAGATCTAAGTACTCTAATGATTTTAAATGTTGTGAAAATAGACAAGGAACCAGAAAAACCTTGCTGTTTTCTATTGTGATTTTTTTAACGTATCCTGTGAGTGTGTATATAGTACTCAAATCATAGAATAAGTAAAACTTTGGAATAGTCAATCTCCGTACTATAAATGTTTGTATTTTAACAGAATGTTTAATTTTATCTGTAACAGATGGGTCAAAATCACCAACTCCATTATACGAACAGTCATCAAACTCTAATTCTGATAATTCAGAGACATGATTGAACAGTTTCACAACTTCATTAAAACTTTTATCAGAGGCTTCCATATTCCTAAAAGTAAACTTTTTAATCAGTGGATTGGTTTCACTTATAGGTGGTTCTGAAAAATGGAAAGCATGCAAATTAGTGTCTCTCAGTTCGAAATGTTCCAAGGAATTTAAAAGATCTACAAAAATCACCAGCAGTAAAGTTGGCTGTTTCAGATGAAGTATGAGATGACTTATATTCTGAATAGACTCCAAGCTTTTTGGCTCATACCTCTGGAGATTTGAAGCATCTATCTGAAGTTGCTCAAGAAAAGTTATTCCAACAAAATCCTTTTTCTGAATTTTAGATATGTAAATGCTTCCTAATTTCAAGGTTCGCAAATTAGTGAGATGAGAAAAAAGAGATGTTTCCCCAAGTTCTTTGTAATTATTTCCCAGTAAGTTTAAGACTCTCAAAGAAGAAAGGGGCCTGAACCAGGAAGGTAATAAATTAGATAAGTAATTATAGGATAAGTCCAAATGTTCAAGATTTCCAAGGGAGGAAAAGGCATCTTCATCTATTTTATTAATTCTACTGTACTTCAGAATAAGAACTTGAAGGTTCACACACAACAGCAGGTCAGTGTTGCCGACATATGCAATCTCGTTGTTGGACAGGTCCAGGCTTTTCACAGCTGCTGTGAGCCCCAAGGGAATGGACTTTAATGATCTGGAGGAGCCATTGCAGATGCCTTTGGGGTCACAAGACAGAAAAGCTTGATCAAGGGACTTTTCATTGGATAGACTGATTATGGACCCCAAGGTGCAGAGTATCCATAAAGTGGGTGGCATTGTCCAATGATTCAACCTACAAGTAAAAAAGTTCAAATAAATGATTGAGTTTGGTAGCATACTGTAATTCTGATTCATGAGAAATGGTTTATAAGACATAACATGTACAAGCAGTAGTTACTGGAAAGTACCAAGAGAGGCAAGTGGAACATATGAATGTGGGGTAAAATGTGAATGCCCTTATATATCCAGAAACCCTGAAACAGATCATACATGGTCACGTGTAAGTATACCACCATCTGAGAGTAAACAGCAGGACTCAATAAACATAGCTTGAAAGATTGAATGAAGGGAGGAATAAACAAGCAAGGAAGCACTTTTTAAAATGTGCTAGACTTAAACATATGGATTTAAAATTAGTTTTTCCTGCATTTCAAACCTTGTATTTAAGCATTCTTAAATGTAAAGCATATTTACTGTGCTTTTGAGTTATGGTGTTGGAGGAGAATATTGAAAGTGCCATGGGCTGCCAACAGAACCAACAAATCTGTGTTGGAAGAAGTGCAGCCAGAGTGCTCCTTGGAGGCCAGAATGGCCAAACTTTGTCTCTCATACTTTGGACATATTGTCAGGAGGTACAAGTTGCTAGAGCAGGATATCATGTTTGGTTAGGTGGAGGGTCAGAGTAAAAGAGGAAGACCCCCAGTGAAAGGGACTGGCAAAGTGGGAGCATCAATGGACTCAAGTGGGGCAATAATTGTGAGGTTAGCCCAGGACTGGGCAGTGTTTCGTTCTGTTGTGCATAGGGTCTTTATGAGTCAGTACCAACTCGATGGCACCTAACAACAACAACAACAACAACAATTAAGCATTCTCTTTCCCCGTCTCAATGCCCCTTTGACTCGCAGAGAATTCAGAGAGCCAAATCACAACTCTCATTTGACAACCATTCACTGAATACAGCTCCAGAGCACCATGTTAAATAAGCAAAAGACAAAAGGCCCATACTCATTAACCGACCTTGCACCTATTACTTCTGTGCAGGACATGGAAGCTTCCTAATGCCCCATCTGACAAAGTAGTACTACTAGCTGGCACAGAACAAGAGATATGTTGGGGAACCCAAGCCAGCAGGTTGTTCTCTGGGTTGAGGGACAGTCAGACCATCTGAACCCTCTCTTCCTTGGAGCTGTAGAGAAGTAAATGCACAAAGTAGTGCTTAACAAACAAAGTAATAATGAGGATTTAAGCTCAGATGGATGGTGCATGGCCGTTAATTATTTACTATGGCCCTTCTAGCAATATTCCTTCATTCTTTGATGTATTGTGAATCCTATTCTTTATGCCGATGATTGGAATCCTGGTGTGGTATGGTACAATAAGCACTAGACTGTTAACTACAAGGTCAGTGATTCAAATGTACCAACTGCTTCTCTTAAACACTATAAAAGTCAAAACTATGAGTCAAAACCAACTCAATCCCACTAAACAACAGCAACATGCCTGATACTATGGACCCATTTTGAAGTGAGTTGTTAATGAGACAGGACTAAGGTGGGACTAAATATGAGCATACATAGGTATCAAACATTACAAAACACACACATGCAATAAAAGACAAAATAGATGACCAAGCCATACTAAAAATTAGAAACTTGTATGCATCAAAAGATTTTAACAAAAGAGTAAAAAGAGAGCCCACAGAATGGGCAAAAATTTTTTGGTAACAACATATCAGACAAAGGACTAAAATGTATAGGCAACTACAACACATCTATAAGAAAAAGACAAATAAATCAGCATGGATATGAACAGACACTTTTAAAAAATGGGCATGGGACATGAGCAGATACTTCATCAAGGAAGACATCAGGCAGCTAAAAAACGTATGAAAAATTGTTCATAATTGTTAGGTATTAGAGAGATGCATATCAAAACAACAATGAAATATCATCTCACACCAGCAATAGCAGTGAAGTTCAAAACAGCATAGGGTAATAAATACTGGTAAGGATGTGGAGAGACGGACCCTCCTACACTGCTGGTGGGAATGGAAAATGGTCCAACCATTTTGAAAAGCGGTATGGCATTTCCTCAGAAAGCTGGAAATAGAAATATCTTATGACCCAGAAATTCCTTGACTTGGCATACATCCATAAGAAATATGAACCAGAACATGAGTAGCTATATGCACACCAATGTTTATCACAGTATTATTCACAATAGCAAAAAGATGGAGACAGCCTAAGTGCCCATCAATCAAAGAATGGATAAACAAACTTTGGTACATATACACAACAGAATACTATGCAACCTTGAAGAAGGTGTGAAACACCTAACCTGATGAACCTTGAGGACATTATGTTGAGTGAAATTAGTCAATCACAAATGGACAAATATTACATGAGATCATTACAGTAAAAGCTTAAGAAAAGATTTCCATACTTAAAGAAATTTTATTTGATGGTTACCAGGGGTGAGAGGGAGGGAAGAATAATTCACAGGATACAGGGTAGATACATGATAGCTGGAGTGACAGGGAGGGCAATATACAAGGAGGGGGAGGGAAATACATAAGAAGGGGAGGCAGTAAAGATAGGGAATGACTTAGGGAAGTATGCACAGGCTAAATGGGATCAAGATAAATAATGATGTATACACAACCTTGGAATAACAGTGTTCTGTGATACAGGGATAGAGACATAGTCTGAACGGATTAAGCAGGGGGCAGAATGTGCTTGACTCTCTTGTGAATATTAGTTTCCCCTGCCTACTTTTGTAAAAAAGACAGTTAAGTGTGATTGTTGTTGTTAAGTGCAGTTGCGTCTGTTCCAACAAATAGTGACCCTAAATAGGGATTCTGAGGAACAGTCGATGAGTTTGAACTACCATCATTGTAGTTCAAACAGACCTTGTGGTCAAGTGCTTATCCTACAGCTCCACATGAATACTGGGAATTATGATTACAGAAAGCTTGTAAGCCTGTCTTCAGCCTATAACTGACTGTATTAGTTAAAATGGGAATTAGAATTTTCCAAGGGAAATAGGCTTCTTGTTAAGCTTTTGTGGAATATGGGACCTTATGTGGAATCCTGAGTCCTACCTAGAACCTTCTGAGGTAAGACATTCCCACTTGAAATGACATGCAAACCAACCCAGAATAGCTAGAAGAACAGAAGATACTTTTTGAAGGAAAGACCAAAAGAAAAAAAGCAGACTGTTTGTCTGTTAGAATATCAAGCAAACTGTTTTCTTGGCACCATGAAGGTAAGATAAGTCAGCCCATCAAATGGAACCCATAAGCAGTCTAGTATGCTCACTGGAGACCGCCTTGGTCTATTTGTGAGTGGAAGCAGGGAAAATGCAGCAATGAAAACATGGGCTGAGTCTGGCCATGTTGCATTTATACCCATTGACCTTGAGATGAGAGAGATAGGAGAAAGGCCTGGCTGGTCTGAAGTTTAGGGAGATGTGTGAACTCCTGAGCTAATGGACACTGGGGTTAGAGCTCAGAATGAAGTGGCCAGCTGGTCTGAAGTGTGGGGAAGGATGTGAGAACTCCCAAACTTGCATATGGTATCCATTTGACCTAGCTTGGATGGTTTTCTGACTAGATGAAGATAAAGAAGTTTGATACCGATAAAGAAGCATACATTGCTAAATTGGGTGAACTTTGCTTATGTATGCAGTGCTCAAAATTCCAACTGAAATGGAAGGATTATTCTTAACAAGGAACAGTCTTGTTTCCTCAGTGCACTGGGTTCACAGGGATGGGCAACTTAGACATTGGCCATCAAAAATGGGAAGCTCTAAAGGCACAAAGTCAGGAGGGAACAGTCGCTGGAGAAGGATGTCATGCTGGGTAAGATGGAGGGTCAGGGAAAAGAGGAAGACCCCCAACGAGATGGATCAGCCAGGTGGCATCATTGATGGCGTCAAGTGTGGCAGCGGTAATGAGGTTGGCCCAGGCCCAGGATCGGATATTGTTTTGTTCTGCTGTGCATGGGGTCGTTATGAGTCAGTTCCAACTCAGTGGCACCTGACAACAACAACAACAACAAAGGCACAAAGTAGCTGGCTTACAAGCTTTCATGAGTGTACTTAGTTTCAAAATGAGGGGAGTAATGTAGAATCCCCACTGAATAATTTTCTTCTTTTCTAGATGGATCTGGTGAAAGGGGGTAGGGGATGATGCTGATAGGATTTTATGATTCAATTGTGAGTAATTGTTATTAGGATTAATCATGATTCTCACAACCATAATTGTAGAAGATGTGTAACTAAAAGGGGGAAGTAGCTAATCTTTCATTTCAGGAACAAAGGACCCTAGGACCATAAACAAGGAAAAGCATGAGTGGAGCATGAGATCTTACCCAGAACACGGCAACAGCAGAGACAGTGGCAGAGGCGATGGCATAAAGAGATAGAGCAGCTGAGGACTCTAGGTCAGTGGACTGAGAAAGGCTGTGTGCCCTTTGGACATTTAAATGAATACATATTTTTTGTTTCATATGTGTACATCCAATATTTTTGCTTTGTTCATTTGTGAAAAATAAGATGTAAAAAGAAAGCCACAGGGTGGAAGCAGGATAACTGATGTTACAGGGAGGAGAGTGTCATCATTGAGATGAAACAAAGTGTATGATTGGTTGAAAGTAAAGCTGATGATCTTGTCTGTTTACCTTCACTCAATTCATAATAAAAAAAGCTTTTTTAAAAAGTGAAGTATTTTCTCCACTTATCATAATGTTATTTATTGGTCGACTTGTTTTCTTTACTTTGAGGAGCAATCCATATTGAATGGTGGATTCTTTGATCTTCATCAGTAAGTATTTTAAGTCCACTTCACTTTCAGCAAGCAAGGTTGTATCATCTGCATATCACAGGTTGATAATGAGTCTTCCTCCAATCCTGATGCCACATTCTTCTTCATACAATCCAGATTCTCAGATTATTTGCTCAGCATACAAACTGAATAAAGAGTGAAAGACTATACAGCTTTGACTCACACCTTTTCTGATTCTAAACCATTTGGTGTCCTCTTCTTCTATTTGAATGGC